TGCTCACTTTTAGGGGTATAGTTGCACCTTTGAGGTTACTGACCCAGTAAAGGGCTAAAATACAATTATAGTATATTTAATTTCTGACAGTGTAAACAAAAAAGGCCTATGACATTTTAAAAAACATGGCTTTAAAATCTAATATTAAGTGAGTATAATTACTGATTATATTGATTATATTCTTTAAAAGATCAGTTTAGTTTAGAGGTATCGTATCGGTATCGATATCGAGATACTGGGCTTACTGGGCTTGATATCGGATCGAAAATAAAATAAGAGATATCGCCCATCCCTTGATAAAATACAGATTTTTTTGGCGGGGTTCCCCTAGTAAAATTTGCATTTTAGGTGCTAAATCACGTTATTGGGGTCGCTTCAACCCGCGGACATGAAAAACAACCCACGGAAACAGTGATAAAGCGGGAAACCGCAGCGATTCAGCGGGAAACCGCACACTTGGCAACACTGATACAGTACAACACACCCCATCAATTTTCAGTTCTTTACTGCCACCTGTTGGCGCAGTTGTGTAACTTAAAGATTAAAGGGGTCATATGATGCTGCTAAAAAGAACATTATTTTGTGTATTTGGTGTAATGAAATGTGTTTATGCGGTTTAAGGTTTAAAAAACACATTATTTTCCACATACTGTACATTGTTTCTCCTCTATGCCCCGTCTTTCTGAAATGCGTCGATTTTTTTCAAAGCTCATCATTCTAAAAATGCGAGGTGTGCTGTGATTGGCCAGCTATCCAGTGCGTTGTGATTGGCTGAATTCCTCAAGCGTGTGACGGAAATGTTACACCCCTACCATATTGTGATGATGCCCTGTCAGGCCGGAGCGATTATTAAAAAACATGAAAACCCATTATAAACGAGGCAATCGTTGCATCCAGTGTTATTTAAACTGGTTGTTAAAAGTTCAAATGGATTGTGTTCTGTTCTGAAATTGCTGTTAATAAATCGGTCAGAAAAAAAAATATGCTAAAGTTTCACCTTTAGGGCTACAACAGCCTGGCAGCCTTTTACAAAAATTAACCATGGTTTTATTACAGTAACCACAGTTTACCACAGTATTTGTAGTAAAACTGCAGTAACCACAAATTTACCATGGTAATAATAATAATAATAATACATTTTAGTACTTATGTCACACCATGTTTATTTTTCATGAGGTACCCTCAAAGGTGCACCTTTGTAACTTATCTACCCTTAAAGCATGCATACTTGTATGGTACTAATATGCTCCCTTTTAGGGGTATAGTTGCACCTTTGAGGTTACTGACCCAGTAAAGGGCTAAAATACAATTATAGTATATTTAATTTCTGACAGTGTAAACAAAAAAGGCCTATGACATTTTAAAAAACATGGCTTTAAAATCTAATATTAAGTGAGTATAATTACTGATTATATTCTTTTAATAATTTAAAAGATCAGTTTAGTTTAGAGGTATCGGTATCGGTATCGATATCGACGATACTGGGCTTGAAAATATCGGTATCGGATCGAAAATAAAATAAGAGATATCGCCCATCCCTTGATAAAATACAGATTTTTTTGGCGGGGTTCCCCTAGTAAAATTTGCATTTTAGGTGCTAAATCACGTTATTGGGGTCGCTTCAACCCGCGGACATGAAAAACAACCCACGGAAACAGTGATAAAGCGGGAAACCGCAGCGATTCAGCGGGAAACCGCACACTTGGCAACACTGATACAGTACAACACACCCCATCAATTTTCAGTTCTTTACTGCCACCTGTTGGCGCAGTTGTGTAACTTAAAGATTAAAGGGGTCATATGATGCTGCTAAAAAGAACATTATTTTGTGTATTTGGTGTAATGAAATGTGTTTATGCGGTTTAAGGTTCAAAAAACACATTATTTTCCACATACTGTACATTGTTTCTCCTCTATGCCCCGTCTTTCTGAAATGCGTCGATTTTTTTCAAAGCTCATCATTCTAAAAATGCGAGGTGTGCTGTGATTGGCCAGCTATCCAGTGCGTTGTGATTGGCTGAATTCCTCAAGCGTGTGACGGAAATGTTACACCCCTACCATATTGTGATGATGCCCTGTCAGGCCGGAGCGATTATTAAAAAACATGAAAACCCATTATAAACGAGGCAATCGTTGCATCCAGTGGGGACATAATTATGGATTATAATGACTTATACTGTCTTTTTATGCGTTGCATTGCGCCGCTTAAACATAAAACCATGTCTGCCTTTGTGAT